GATAAATATATTGAACTTTTTGCAAGTAGATACTCACCAGCTACCACCCTATATACATATGAAGATGGTTTTCATTTATTTGCAAAAAATGATCAAGAGCTTATGCAATTGTTAGAGGACTACACATTGAATCCTGATTATAGCTATGTTTCAAATTTATTTAAACAATTTCATAGTGATTGTCTAGGTGAAAAAATAGTATTTCTATGTTCTAATGACTTAAAGAGGAAGTTGATTCATATAATAATTCTGGAAAAGGTCATACCATTTATCAAGAATATGACTCTCAGTCAAAAAAAGCCTTTATCCTTTGTGTTGTTACTAATTTAATGGTTCGCGTCCATGAAAAAGTTCAACAATCTAGAGAAATTTGCTATGTGGATACTTCGGCATCATTTAAATCATTGAATACATCAGTTAGTCTATTCTATACAAGCTGCATTGCAGGAGCATTGCCACTTGGTATTCTTGTAACATCGGATAAGCTGGAAACAACTCTTAAAAAGGGAATGAAGATGTTGAAATTGCTCCTTCTACAACATGCATTTTTTGAACGCGAGCCTGATGTTGGACCAGTAACTTTTCTTACAGATGATTCGAGTTCTGAACGTAATGCGTTAAAGCGTTGCTGGCCACAGACAAAACAGTTATTATATATCTTCTATGTGCTTCAAGCATTTTGGCGCTAGTTGCATAATTCAAACTATAACATAAATAAGACTCACAAAATACCTATAATGAATCTTATGAAACATATATTATATGCTTCAACAGAAGCTGAAATGATGAAAAGTTATAATGAATTAAAGATCAACTATTATCATACATATCCACAATTACAAAGACACTTTGAATTACTTTGGAACCAACGGCAATTCTGGGCAGTATTTTTTCGCTCTGAGCTTCTCATATGGGGCAATAACACTAATAACTACATTGAATGTAGTTTTGAATTGCTAAAGGACATTATATTTGTACGCACTAAGGCATACAATTGTGTTTAGATGTTTCAATTTATTATTACAAGTATGGAATATTATTATAAACGTCGATTACTTGGAATAGCGCATTGTCACCCTGGTCACATTCGAATTGCTAAAAGATTCTTATGCCCTAGTTGCGAGGCGATTGATGTAGCAAATATTAAAAAAACTGAATTAAGCATGGAGTATTTGGTTCCAAGTCAAAAAAGGGGCACTAATTTATTTTATACTGTTAATATGGAGTTATGTACATGTACATGTTTCGTTAAGCTATCCAGAGCACCATGTAAACATCAAAGCACAGTAGTCGCAAAATTTCATATTAAGTCTTTAAATTTTTTTCTATCCTTAATGCCTAGTAATCATGCTCATTTTGTATATATTGCATGTAGTTGGTAGATTGTTTAATTTTTTAATTGAGTTCTTGAAAAATTTCTAAATTATATATATTTAAATAATTACAATAAGGAATGATTGCAAATAACTCTTTTTATACATCTTTACATGCTTGAACAAATAATAATCAATATGAACAATCGAATAAAAACCAACTTATTACTGCAAGTGATATTGATGTGGATCAAATTTTAAGTGATATAGATGCGAATCAGATTTTATCTGATACAGAAATTTCAGCAACTGATGCGAATACAAATCAGGTTAAATCTAATGCAGAAATTTCAGCAACTAACACGAATGCAAATCAGGTTAAGTCCGATGCAGATACAAATCAAATTGCAGCAACAGAACTGTAAGCATATAATATTTTATTTCAGGAAGTTTTTGAATATTTTACATGCAGGCATGCGGGTAATTATTTTGAATCCAGACCAAAATGTTATTATATCATATATATAAAATTGGTTCAGATTCAAAAATAATTATCTATATATCTTAAACACAAGCATTATTATTGTATAACAGAATTA